TTGTCACTTGCAGCTGTTCTGCACACATGTGTTTGTCGTTTGTAAACATATATTTACCTACGTAGCATTTAAATTAACTTCCATTAGTTAATTACAATATCAGAAAATAATATAATATAATTAATTAAATTAAAAGAAATAAAAATTTCCTTTACCAACACAAGCTCATGTGCATAAATTTAACATTGTGTGATATAAAATACATAAATTTATTTCCGTATGTTAACAGTAATTAATAAAAACAATAATAATTTATGCATTAATAAACATGCGTTAATTCATATATCTCGTATTAATTATTTGTAATTTAAATACTCAAAATGATCAAAAACGATGATCAAAACGTTTACTAAACGCATGAATTATTATTATTTTTATTGATTACTGTTAACATGCGGAAATAAATTTATGTATTCTATCATCATATAATATTAAATTTATACACACGTCCTTCTTGTGCTGACTTTTAAAGGCAATTTTTATTTCTTTTCTTTTATTTTTTTCAGAGCCTTAATTTATTTACATTGTATAATTAAATATTTTCTTTGAAAAATTAAGTATAAAAACGCTTTATAAAACATGAGAGACGTCCTGAAAAAAGAATGCGCTCATAAGTGGCATAATCCAATTTAAATGCAAATATAAACCGTGCATTCGTCAAAATCTTCATCAAAATCGTATTCAGCGTAACGCAGTGTTCAGTAAACGTATAAATACTTGTTTAAATTCTAATTGCAGAAATTAGGAAATTGGATTAACCTTACGAGTCGTGGAGAAGGTCAATATACATGTCGCAGTGTGGTCTTGACAGGAAGATTCGCGTTATAATTCGCGTACATACATGGACTCTTCGAGTTCAATCAATGATCCGACTCTCTAACTTTTCGCATGTGCGCAGTTCTAACCGCGAGTTCGCTATAATTATCACTCATTATCTCATAATTATCTATGTTCTCATTATCTGATAATTACCTGCATCGTAATCAAATGCTGTTAGTTCTACAACGAATTATATTCATAACATGTGTTCACTCACAATTATGTTCGATGTACCATTTACCATGTTACCATTATAAACAAATCTTTTTTCCAATTTCCATTAAGCGGATAATTTAATAACTCACATCTACACTTAAACGAGGTTGTAAATGATAATAGAGAGGATAATAGCAAAGTAATAATGATTGAACTGTTATGAAAAAAACGCGCGCGCGTATATTTCTTATTTATCATTTATCAGCTAAAACATTACCAAAAGTTTAGAAAAATTATGCAAAATAATCGAGCAAGTAAATCTTCGACACATTTCTTACATAATACACATATATCACGTTATGCTCATATTCATCGTCAACCCTTACATTTAAATTCCTTATCGTTTATCTTTAGATACTCTGTAGCTAATAAAATAATTCGTAGAGCATTTGAAGATAAATTTAAGGAAGCCTTAAATATAAAGCCTAACTATGAATACGGACGTTAGTGTCTTACGTCAATGTCCAATTCATAATTCAGTCGAGCAGCTCATTTTATAGTTCATTCCTGTATCTGTATAGTTCATTCCTGTCTCTGATATACTAACCGCCTACTAACAATTAATTTAGGTCAAGTTAACGACAGTAAATGACAGTAGTAGCATATTTCTCGACTCCGTAAATTTAAAGTGTCCTAATTAATGCGATAGTTTAAACGAGGCGATAGTTTAAACTGTTTAAAGTAACGAGTAGAAGAAGAATGTTGCTGTGTAATTATAAAATATCGATTACAAACTACGTCTTTTTGCATCGATTTTGCCTCACAAATTGAAGGCTTTATTACATTTTGACAGGACGCGAATCTGACGCCGGAGGAGAAAATATTGGAGCAGATTACGACAGCAGAAACTGAGCAACGTCTAATAGCCAGGCGGAAATTTCTAGCAGAAAAATGCGCCGAGGAGGGACTCGATCGTCCTGGCAATGACTCACTTCACAGGCCGAACGCCTGGGAATTTCTTGTAAATAAAGAATATCATCTTATATGGTGCAACGTTTTCAAAGCAGCATCGACATCATGGATGTATAACTTTAATTTACTTGCTGGGTAAGTCCCATTATCGTTTACGTAACTAAAGTTTCTTGCGAAAACGAACACAAAAATTAACACAACGTAGATAAAGTATACCATGCAATTTATACCGTTGCAAATTGCACACAAAATACGGTGAAAAGATATTATAGATTAATATTTAATTGTTTTTACTCCCTCGTTTTTTTTAATTATTTTCATATGAAAAAGATCTCTGTTTCTTCTATTTCTTATCGTCAAATCGCTAAAATACTAACCTAATTACTGAATGGTTGATTGTAATTGAGCAATGATAATTACACACGATATGATGAATCACCAATCGTATTGCGCTAACTTTGTAGATACAGCCCGCAATTTCTGAAGGCCTCCAAGGCAGTGCCAGTCTCACTAGCTAGACAGAGGTATCCTAGACACAGCGCAGAAGAACTAGCTAAATATCTAAATGACAGCATCAGTTTTTTGATAGTGCGACATCCCTTCGAAAGATTGCTCAGCGCTTATCGAGATAAATTGGAGCACAGTCTGCCGCACACATTTCACAGCAACCTCGGTGCACACATAGTTTGGCACTACAGAGCAAGGGTAACGTCTTTCGACGATTTCTATAAATCATTTAGAGTCAGGCGCTAAATAAATTGCTTCTCATTCTTCTACAACCAAAATTGCGATTTAGCGAAATTATAAAAATAAAAATATAAAACATGGATTAATAAAAAATATTTAAGAATAATTAAGGAATTTAGGGGAATCGACTTTCCTCGTAATACTATTTAAATTCATGTTGTATTCATATTGATTAATTTAATATAAAATGATTAAATTATTAAATGTCAAATATATATATATATACACATATATATATTATATATATACATATAAAGGATTTCAAAATAGATCTTTGATCATATCCAAATATAGGATTCAAAGACGAACACAAGACAAGGACCGAGATATCCTCTCTTCGAGGAATTCGTGCGATGGCTGTTATGCCAGTGGAGAGCAGGGAACGATCTCGACATGCATTGGACACCAGTTGTAAACTTCTGCACACCCTGCCAAGTGCGATTCGACGTGATAGCGAAATTCGAGACATTACATGTAAGTAAATTTAATCATAAGCTCTCTTCTTTATCTAACTGTCAGCATAAGAGTCAACACATAAGAAAAAGATTGTGTTTTATATTTTTAAGGAAGTATCCAAAATACTTGCAAAATATTAAACAAGATAAGCATGTTTCGCTGAACTATAAGAGAATTGTTTTAAAACTATCGCTTTCTTGTTAAAGAACGACCAAGACTATCTTATAAAACAAGCTCATGTGGGACACATCATCAAACCCGAGTGGAAAAATCCTACTAAGGGCGTGCAAACGAAAGATGTCATAAAAAATTATTTTACGCAATTATCCAAGACACAGATCGAAGAGCTGTATGAAATGTTCAGGTACGTCTGCAGAAAGTCAAGGAATTTACATACGTTGATAATTTCTTCGCATGTAATATAAGAGACGCGGAAGTATGTGAATAATTACGTGCAGCATCATAAAACGTAAAATTATCTTATCTTTATGATTCGCAGGTATGACTTCGTACTATTCGATTATTCGCCAGACGAATATTTAGCATTTGGTAGAGACGAAATCACCACACTAATATGTAAAAAATGAACCTGACATATCTATATTTGAGATATGTGAATATATGAAATGGAATGAAGCATACGACACACACAACGAAATCGTAGATAGCGCTTAAATAAAATTGAAGGGACAGGAAGTATATAATATTCGATATGTATATAGTGACGATCAATGCATTTCTTATGTGGGACTTGAAAAGTGAAAGGATATATCCTGGTTTTGTAATTTACATATAAACTACGTTATCATATTGAACATTTTGATAGCGCATACGTTAAAGTTTATCGAATTGTTATACTAAAATATATTGGAGGAAATATTATATATTAGAAGAACACAATAAAAATTCACGATAAATAATGATGATGCAAATATGAACGTAAAGTTCGTTGCTTGCGTACTTAAATTGTTAAGATAAATTAAATTTTTATAAATTTACAGCTTGAAGAAAGCTTTACTGGCATATAAAGCTTTCTGTTCATTCCAAATTTTCACTATTTCAATTATCTTCCGTTTTAATAATGTATAATATAGATTGAATTAGATTCCATTAATAATAAAAATTGCTAAAGCCTTTAAATAGAAATGCAATATTGACGTAAGAAAAGTCTAGATAAATTCAAAGAATTTTAGTACGTGATACACGAGATTTAAAAAGAAATTTGTGATAGTCTCAGTTTTGCATAAAGCAATAAGAGTATCTAATTACGCCACCGAGTTGTCCTCGACAACTGCACAATAATCTTTGTAAGCATAAATGTAGTACCACTATAACAATGGTATAGTACTGCCTCAAGGAAACATGGTGCAAAATATTATGATAACTAACTTATCACATAACATCACTTTAAGATGCAAACAGTTTTGTAGACTTGCGTTGTTCTGAGAAATAATAAAAACATATATTTCCGAACAATTAAGACAAGGAATCAATCAACAGTTGTATTTGCGTATGTTTCGCTACAGTAGCGATTAAAATAATTGGATATTTAAAATTTTGAATCTTAAATAAAATATTTGTCTGTGTGATCGCAAAACTCAAATTGATTGAATTAGAATGACGCAAAAATACGCCGACGTTACAAATTTCTATACTTGCAAAATAAAACATATTGTTGAATAAAGATTATTTGTACGATATTCTGCGTGTACAGTTTTTATCGGCATCCTATATCTTTACAGCTATGAATATACTCTTATTTCAGTATTTTTTCTGTTTGTGTCTCATTTTCGTTATTCGACAAGACTACATCGAACATAACTTCATAAATGATTTAATAAATGACTCACCAGCAAGATCTGTTGTACAATTCTACTCCAATAATCCATTTATCCTGAAGAACACATTGCCATAGTGAGGTTACTTCCAATATTTTTTCTGGGCTACTAGTGTTGCTGCATCGCTGTTTCTTTATCACAGGTACTCCTTCGGCAGTATACATCTATAATATTAAATATACTATAATATTATAGGTATTCTATGTATCACCCATTAATTGACAGTTTATTATGATACTCATTATTACATTGAATGCAGTAAGATTAATCTTCAAGTGCTCTCAAAAACAAAAATAAAGGAAATTTGAGGATTTAACAATACGCCACAAATTGACATTTCTTATTCTTTGAAGAATAAAGAGAAATAAAACAGAAGAAATCACTTAAGACAAGGATTGTAATTATTTCTTGTAAAGATCGAGTATTTCATTTCCAATTTAATCGACGGGACTAAGACCAAAGAATTTTTATTGTAATTTACGGAGATTCCAAAAACATAATTTGAGAATTTAACACTAAACTAACACCTTATTTTTTGAAAAATAAAAAGGAATATAAACGGAAGGAAAACTAATCAGAGAGAGATTTAAATTATTTCTTGCAAGGATCAAACATTTAATTTCAATTTATAAAAATTTTCATTGTACAAAATTTTGGAGTAAAAATTTTAAAAATGTAATTTGCCGATTACAATATGTACCAAATCGAAAATATGTAGAAAAACTACGCGAAAAACTGTCGCAAAAATTTACTAAATCGTAATATTACTTATAAATATTTACTTACAATGAATAAATATTTACTCAATAAAAAATGATAATTAAATCAAATTAAAGGTTCTTATAACAAATAAATATATATTTACATTTAAAAGTAAATCTGGAGACACGGCAATGTCTCTGTTCATTACTTAGAGCTTCAACAAATATTTATTAAAATTTTTTTTCTGTGTAATGTCGAGTCCAGCTCAAAACTACAAAGAATTAAAATTAGCAAAGTTATGAATGTCAATATACTACGACATATTACAGACCTTATAAGAGAGTCTGGCCATGAGATGACAAATTTTTTATTAGTCTGTCATTTTCATCAACTTCACTTTCAGTAAATTATAATGATAAAAAAGACACAATAAATATATTTGGCCTTCTTTCTCACTTTCGTTTTGATGAAATTCCTCGTGGCCAAACTCTAATTTAGGAAAGGCGGTTTGATCTCTCACGTGATTTAAGCGCTTATAATTATCATTGTTTTTATCGTTTATTAAATGTTAAAACAAGAATAGACGAGTTGAAAGCATTCAAACCGATGCAGCCAAAGTCTCTACTATATGTGTATGTTGCAAATAAATGTACTTTTTGCACTCTTAGTACCTTCGCTTTCTCTTTCCTCAACGCCTAAATATGTGTTTATCTCATTTTAACTGCAGAAATTTTTGAGAAATCAAGCAACACGGACAGATCTGCAATCGCGGAATTACCTCGTTGTCCGAGCCCGAATTCGCATCTTCCCCGTGAAGCGCGCGCCATTCCAGGGCGTTCAAAACGCATGCAATGGTCGCCTTTGTCTCGGAGATTTCGCTCGTCGCGACGTTGATCCTACCCTCGATGTCGGCGAGCTGCTTCAATAGATGCTCCTCGACAGGATTCACCGGCTCGATTCGCGCCGGCAAGACCATATCCTCGTCGCTAATAGCGAATATGTCCTCGTCATCGGACTCCATTATCTATTCCTGTTATCTACGGCCTTTCAGTTTGCGATATGTCGATTACGACCTCGATTACGCGTACCTACGTCTGGGAACGACGCCGAATCGGAGCAACGCGACGCGTTATCGCACGACAACTTCAGGAGTAGTAACGTCTGCCCTTTATAAAAATTACAACACAATCAACTGTCAATGCACACGAGTAAACTGGCGGGCTCGCTGTTGTGACAATTTTGAACTTTTCGATCAGATCGATGCAGGATGACCAACGTAACGACATTTGCTGGATTCACGCTGCATCCGATTTTCGTCGTACGAC